TACACCCGATTGTTAGATTTAAAAAAAAATTTCTTTTTTTTTTTTTCTATTAACCAAGTTTAGAGTAAATTTTTTTTTTTTTGTTAAAACTAAGTGTTAACTTGATAATGAGCTTTACATACTAAACTTTTTTTTTTAACATCCAGTAAAACTTTTTTTTAAAAGAAAAAAAAAGATAAAAAAAAAAAAAGTTTCATTTATTACTTTTAACAGGGAAGGTTTTTTTTTTTTTGGAAAATGGAAAGAAAAGGAATCAAAGGAAATCCTTCGTAGGGTTTATTAGTTTTTTTTTCTTACGTAAAATGAATGAAAATGTTGCGCTTTCGTGTACAAATTTTATAATTTTTTTTTGTTCTTCGTTTCAAAATAAAATAAAGAAAAACAAATTTTTTTTTCTCGAATAATCGTTAATTTATTTATAAACCGGAAGTTTATTTAACAAAAATTTTAAAACAATTTAAATGAGTCTGGTAATAGTAGTTGTGCCACACTACTATCTCTTTATTTTCATTTTCAAAATTTTTTTTTCTTTTCAGACTTTTTATCCATTTCCTAATTTTCCATTAGATTTCTCCATTATGTTTTATACTTTCAAAAACTTAATCCCAAATGATAAGACTTTATCACATCCGGTGTAGTTTACGGCTAGTAAGTTTTTGAAAAGTTTCTTACAATTTATAAATTCTTATAGTTATTATCGTAAAATAAAATTTTACTAAAATCCGAAGAAATGTTTATGTTAAATACGTTCAATGGAGAAAAAAAAATTTTCTTTATTTTCGGACTGGAACAAACTGGAAATTTCCAAATTTTTTTTTTTTTTTTACGTTGCGTGTAAACACCTGAGACTAGTTTTTAAAAAAATTTTCACCTGATGGAAAACAAAAATGGGGGGGAAAATTTCGAAACAGACTTTGATAGACGTTTTTAAATCGAAAGTATTAAAAGAAAAAAGAAATCAAAGATGGCGATGATGGTGGTTGTTAAAAATAAATAAAAAAGTCAATAAAAGATCAATTTAAATTCATTAAGGATATTTTAGTCAGGCAATAACAACAACAACAGCAAACAAAAAATTTCACTTTACGAAATTAAAACAAACAAAAATTTAAAATAAAAATTTATTAAAGTTAAAATGGTAATAATAATGTTGAGGAAAAATTTAAATTTTTACATGTAAAAACATCAGGGGATCCAACCAACTCTTGTGGTGATGATTAACGCGGGAAGAGGGAGAGGTGAGGTGAGGAGAGAAGGAGGTTCAGAGATTAAAAGTGAAGAAGGAGGATTTTTACAAAAACAAAATAAAAAATAAAAAATAAACTTTCATATTAATACGGATTTCACTCGTGGGATTTTCTCATGTAAAATCGTCGTCGTCATCGTCGTCGTCGTCGTCGAATTTTCCAGACTTTTTATTATATGATAATATATATATCATTCGATAAACATTCCAACTCCGACGTTTCGATCGTTTTTTTTTTTTTTTTATTACCGTTACAAATCATTTTCTTATAGACTATACTTATAGCGTTTTCTTATTCTACGACATGAAGACATGTCCTATCCGTAAATTTTCCAACCACCTTTTAATAATTCCGGAAAATCTAAAATCAATTTAAGGAAAACCAAAATACATATAATTAGTTAAATTTCTTCCAGCTGTTTATTTTTTATTACGGTTCGATAAATTTATTCGGACGATCAACTATTTGATTTAATTATTATTAATTTTATCATTTATAATATTATATTATTATAATATATATATAAATCCTTCCTTCGCTTTTCAATTGTTATATTAAAAGAAAAAAAATTTTGAATATAAAAATATTGAAAACCAAAGGGATTCGCTGCCATTTTGAATATGCTAATTACTCTTGTATTTCCAAGAAAAAATTTATTAAAAATAATTTTAAAATGATTATATGAAAATCGTAATTATTGTTAAAAATTTCGTCATTTAATAAAAAAACGCGATTGTTTTGATTTGAAAAAAAAAAAAAAAACTTTTTTTTATCTATATTGATGACGTTAAATAAACATAATCAAATAAAAAAAATAGTTTTCTTATATTTTTTATTTAAATTAAATTTATTAACGAAAAAAGAGGGAGGAGCAAAAGGTAAAAATTGGTTCATTTTAATTGGTTAATTTTTGTCAAAAATGATGGTTGCCAAAAAAAAAGTAAAAAAAAATGGATGCGAATTTTACGTCACAGTAACAAACAATAAATTAAACCGAACCGAATGGATTTTATTTTGATAAAACGATAGGTGAATGATTGATTGATTGATTGATTGGTTATTTTAAAAAAAATAATAATAATAATAAATTTATTTATTTATTCGTTATTATTATTATCATTACTTAAACTATGACGTAAAACTAATCTAAAATAAATAAATAAAAATTATACAGACTTACAATTTTTTTTTTTTTTTTAGTTTTTTATTTAATTTTTTTTTTTATTACTCTTTCGTTTTATTATTATTATTATTATTATTATTATTATTATTATTATTATTATTATTATTACTATTATTATGAGAGTAATAATTTTTTAATTATTTAGGTAAATAAATAAATATGTGAATTTTTTTTTACTTTATTTTATTTTAAATATGCAACACGTTATTATTATTATTATTATTTTAACATTTCATCAAACATTAAAACAAATAATAAAACAAAAAAAAATACGTAATAATAATAATAATAAAATAAAATACGAACGTAATTATCAACAAAATAAAATAAACAAAAGATTTTTGTAATAATAATAATAATAATAATAATAAACTATTTATTCTAGAGTATTTGTCCCTAAGGAATCGGGTAGAAACCTGGGATAAATACTTAAAAACCCCGACGAATAAGAGCCTTGTCGTGTTTAATAGTGGACATAATAATAATAATAATAATAATTTTTCAACTTTTAAAAAAATTTAAAAAAAAAAAATTAATTAATAAATTTTAATAAATTACCAAAACAAAATAGTAATAATGATATTAATGACGTAATTATTGTTATTATTATTATTAATAATTTCTAAAAAAAAAAAAAAAAATTTTAACGGTTTTTTTTCCTCTTTTTAATTTATTGTTATTATTATTATTACTATTATTAATTTTTTCTTTCTTTTTCCAAATTATATAAAAAAAATTACGTAATAATAATATTATTATCATTATCATTACTTTATTGCACAAAGTTTTATTATTATTATTATTATTATTTGGATGCAAACCTTATAAATTATTAATAGTAATAATAATAATAATGGTAATAAATTTTTTTTTTTGTTTTTAATATTGCACGTCACGAAATGAAAATTCCAAAAAAATTTTCTCCAGTTTAAAAAAAAAGCCCTTGTTTGTCGCGTAAATGTTTGCGGTTGTTGTGGTTGTGTGATGTTGAATTATTCTGGAGAAAAAATTAAATTTATTTATGGAAAAATGCGAATCGAAACAATAATAATAATAATAATAATATTGTGGAGATCTGGAATGTTAACTGCTAGAAAGTAATTCTTATTATTGTGTGTAACTCAATTCGATGAAGTAATAATACTAAAATTCATGGAAATTTCTGGAATTAATATCAGCGATTTTGTGTAAAAAAAAAAATTATTGTAAACAATTATATTATCACTTTTGTATTTCTTATCATTTATTGTAAGGTTTTCGATAATTTAAAAACGTTATAATAACGACCTGGAAGAAGTTATTTAAATTTTTTAAAATATTAAAAATTTGGCCAGTTGTGTGATAAGATCGTTGGTGATAAGCTCAAATTAAATATTAATTTTGTTTTTTTTTTGTGGACTTTAATTGGTACCACGTATATTACAAAAAATCTGGAAGCTTCGATTTGAACACAAAAAATTTTCGTAATTTAAAAAAAAATTCCAGAAACAAAAAAAGTCAGTATTCGATGTACGACGTTTATCGATTGCACGTGTTATCATACTTATCGAAAATTCTAGAAAGAAACATCTTAAAATACTTAAATATAAAATTTAAAAAAATAACAACAATAATAATAATAATAATAATAAGAAGAAGAAGAAGAAGAATCAAAACAAAAAACAAAACAAACGAACAAAACTTAAAAAAAACATTGCGAAAATTTCTCAACGAAAAAAATTCAAAACGGAAACGGAAATAATTAAAAATTTAACGACAAATAATAATAATAATAAAACAAAAAATAATAAAACCTAATAATAATAATAATAATAATAAATAAAATCTGACGGGCGTAGACAAAAAAAACAATTTTAATAATACCTAAAAATACCCGCACATCAATACACCGTATACAACATCATTATTATTATTATTATCGTTATCATAAACGTATGATTTTATAAAAAAAAATTCCAGCAGGGTCAATAACCTCTGCATTTGTACTAAATTTTCTTTTTTTTTCTTTCATTCTTTCGCTTCCTTTTAAAAAAATAAATAATAATAATAATAATAATAATAACGATTAATCGATGAGAAATTTATCATCATTATTATCATCATCATTGTTTTCATCGTTACAAATATTATTATCATTAATAATGATATACCTTAAAATACATTTATATATATATATAGAGAGAGCTTTTACAATATTTTTTTTTTTTTTTAAATTTTTTACATAAAAAAAAAAATAATAATAATAATTATATAAGTTATTTACGACTTTACAAATACGTTCTAAGTATAAAATTATTATCATTATTAATATTACATTCTAGAAAAAAAGATGTGGAAAACCCCCCATTCAAAAAAAAACACTTTAACGACATCCGACGAGAATCGAGTCAAAACTCCAGCTGTCACCAAAAAAAAATTCCAGACGATGTTGATAAGAAGAAGTAGAAGAAGAAGAAGAGGGAAAACCTAAAAAAAAACAAAATGTCGGACGGATTGTTATGATAAATCTTATTTTGAAACTATTATTATTAGTAGCATACTCACTCTTCTCCAGTTGACTGGAATCAAAATTACAATAATTGGGCTGCTACCGGTTTGAGAAGACACATGTGTTCAGCTCCTCTTATCGGTAACTTATTAACGGAATAATGACGTATCATATCCGGTATGGAATTAAACGGTTTGCTAAATTGTCCTAATATAAATTGTCCAGAATTATTATCGATTTGTATTCTCATATGCATGAAACCTTTCGCGCTCCTGAAAATATATAAATAAAATAACCAAACCCTATTCTTCCCATTCAATCAATCAGTCAATCAATCAATCATCGACTCACTTTAGAGATAGGGAATAATCTTGTTTAGCGCTTTCACTATTTCTAACGAGGTAACTTCCTTCTTTTAAACTTCTTAATAAATCTTCTGCTTCGACTCTCGTTATCGAACCGTGATACCAACTGAAAAAAAAAATTATATATTATTATTATTATTTATTTGTGTCGTGGGTTTAGAACTTTATAGAAAATAACAATATTTAGGAAAAAAAGGAAACTCACGTTTGTTTTTCCAATGGTAAACTCGGATCAATTAAATCAACGCCGGAAAATGCGTTCAAGGTCATCGTTCCGCATCCTCTTCCTCTTTCCAAATCGAGACTCAATCCTCGAGTTTGATTTTGAATGGAATTCGATTCCAGATCCAGTGATAAAGTCATAGATGGCCGAAATAAAACATCTGGAAAATTTTTCTAACTTAGTCTCTCTCTCTCTCTAACCGGAAACGGAAACGAACGTGAATAAAAAAAAAAAACGAAATTGATCGATGGGATTTTTTTTCCCTTTTTCTTTCCTTTTCTTTAAAGAAAACGTGAAGGATTATTATCATTATCATCATTATTATTATTATGGAAAATTGTTCGATTGTCGTCGTACAAACGTGTCATCATTATCATTTATCAAATATTACAAGAGAATAATTAAGAAAAAATTTTTAAATTCCGAAACCAGTTTTTTCTCTCTTTTTTTTCCCACACAATGAAAATTAATTATTTGCGGGATCCTTTTTATCTATTCCGTTACCCTGGATACGGTCTCTGACGTCATCATCAGTTTAAATCATTTTATTTTATTATTATCATTATTATTGTTATTATTATTATTTTTTTTTTAGTGGATTTTTTTTTTGGGGGGGAGGGCGATTTAAAATGATTCGATAAAAAAAATTAAATCGTCGTACAAAAATTAATAATGATAATAATAATGATGATGATGATGATGATGAGGACGATTTGTCATTGTATTAATAAATCCCATTAACCGTTTGCAAAACAAACGACAAACGACAAACGATTTTTTTTTTTTAAAAAAAAACATTTTACTAATGACATGAAATTTTTTTTTGTTTTTTTTTTTTGTTTTACTTTCCAGGTTTTTTTTTCGCACACGATAATAATAATAATGATGATATGATTAATGACGTCATTACGAGAAGGAGGAGGAAATAAAATAATAATAATAATAATAATAATAATTAATTAAATAAATTTTTTTTGTAATTTTTTTTTTCTTTCTCTTCCGACTAGATCGAGATTGATTTTTTTTTTCCAGGTTGGAAAAATGAAATTATAATTCCAGGCCCTTTTTTAAACACACAACCCCCCCTCCTTCTCCTTCTTCTCCTCGCCCTACCTTTCATAATCGGTATAATTATGCGTCAGATGGAGGAAAATAAAAAAAAAATGATTGAGTAAAAAAAATTTTTTTTGTTTTTACAAACGACTGGAGAAGAAGATGAAACTAATTACTCTTAAAATAATTGACCATAATCGAACGCCATATTGCTTTTTTAAAAAAAAAAACATTATTATTATTATTATTATTATCCACCATTAAACACGACAAGGCTACTTGTCGGAGTTTTTAAGTATTTATCCGAGGTTTCTACCCGATTCCTTAGGGACAAATACTCGAATTTCGGTGGTGCCACTTATTATAAGATAGCACCACATCAATTCTTGAAGGTCTTCCTGAGTCCGTCTTTTTCGATGGGAACGATTTGTCTCCTGAACTGGGCTCCGGTGACTAACATCTTTGGAGTGGCCAGGGTCAGAAGCAGTGAAATTCACGTTCTCGTCGAGCTGCCTCAGGTCGACAGTAGAACAAGATTTGTTTTTTGGTTCTTACTTTGTCTTGTTCTCATTTTTTTTTTGCTCTTTTAAGCCAACAGCACATGGCGTTCTCAAACGGTCACCCATCCAAGTTTGCACCACGCCCGATGCTGCTTAACTTCGGTGATCGTACGGGAACCGGTGTGACCAGCACGCTATGGCCGTTGGCTTTTATTATTATTATTATTATTATTATTATTATTATACTCCAGTCGTTTAAATTTTCCGGGAAGTTCTCGAGAAGATATCGGAGAGGGGGGGAGGGGAAAAGAAAACTTTTCATTTACGTTTTTTCTTTTTTTCTTATTATACTTTTTTTTTCCTTTTTGTCGTTTTACTCGACTTTTTCTTTTTTTTACGCTGAATAAATGTCTTGAATCAATCACTTACTGGACAACTCAAGTTGATTGATGAAGTGTTGACGTAACCCCGAAATAATAATAATAATAATATATTTTATTTATTCCGTTTCATTCCATTTGCTTTTGTTGTTTAGAAAGGAGAAAAAAGAAGAAAGAAAATAGAACTCACTTCCGGTTTGTTCTGCAACGCTTTGACTAGATGATGCTTGAGATTCTCCGGTGTTTCCACCCGGTCGGAGTCGCCTTCTTAATTTTGGCATATCGAAAGGTAAATCACGAAGATCAACCGATGTGGCACTGCTTGACGTACACGCGTCGACTTCTAAAAGTCTTCGATTTAGTACATTTTCTTGTTCAACAAGTCGGCGACGTCTTAATTTTGGCATGTCGAATGGAAGATCGGAAAAATCAGTCTGGAAATTTTTTTTTTTTGAAATTAATAAAAGGGATGGTAGTGAGATGATGGTACCAAGTACATACCATCCACGTTCTCTTACCTCTGTTTGATTAGAAAAAATTCCACTTGATTTTAAGGTTCTCGATTCGACGGAAATACCGCTATCGGAACCTTGGGCAGCTTCGTTCGACGAAGAACTCATTTGTAAACCTAAATTTATTAAATTTTTATTTTGTAATGTTTTTCTTTTCACTTTAAAATCTAGCTTGGGTGGTGGAGGTGGCAACGGCGACGACGACGACGACATCGGCGGATGATTATGGTGTTGATGGTGGGGGTGATGGGAATGGTGCTGGGATTCGTTGGTTCCGTTGTCATGACTTTCTTCAGGACTCGGCTTTTGAGAATTGTTGTTTTTATTGTTATCACTCGTTTCCGAGGGTTCGACGGATGATTTATCCGATATAGGAGACAAAGCGTTTTGCATTTTATTCGTATCGTGTGGATTTGTTTGCTTTAAGTGATATTGTAGATTGGCTGTGGTTATGGCTACGACGTTGCTCATTGAATCCGAACTATGACTGCTTAAACTGCTACTTCTGTGACTTTCCGAACTCGTCGTGCTCCTGTTACCTTCGCTCGTGCTACTTTTTATACTTTCCAAACTTCCGCCGCTCGAACTCGTCGCAACGCTTTCTGTGCTTGAAAATTTTAAACGACCGTTTTTACGCTGTCCCAAAACTACGGTCGGCCTTATTTCCCCTATCAAACTTCTCGGCCTTGCCGCTCTCGGTTTCTTATTCGTCGATTCCCCTTCCGGCCTTCCTTTAAATTCTAATATTAATTCTGTTTTTTGTGCTAACTTTTGAGATTTATTGTTATTATTATTAATATTATTATCATTACTGTTTTGATAATTTTGACACAAACTTTCTTCGGATGCGTCATCACGTTTCTCATCACTGTTAATTAAAGGATCGTTAAAACTCGTTAAAAGTGACGAAGGTCGCGAATTTCTACCCCGAAGAGATTTTACCGGAAGTTTACTGTCTTTGATTCTGTTGTTTTTAGACGATAGTTCCGGTGCACTTTTTATGCTGTTCATTGTGAAATCTTCGTGACCACAAAATTTCGATGGGAGAGGAGCCGTGGATGGCGGAGTCGGCGTTTGAACCAATGTTATATTTTTAACCCGATCGGATATATTCGATATATCTTCGGAAGCGTTTTCCGCGTCCGAACTTGAAATCCGGGATTTTTTCTCTTTGGTAAAAGGTTTTAGTGGATTTTTCGAAAAAGAACTTCCCGGTCTAGGAGGTCTCGTGTAACTTTCTATCAGAGGTGCCGTCACGGCACTTTTGCTCCGACCAATTCTAGAATGTAAAATCGGATGATTGGTCACGCGGTCTAGTTCTTCGAGATCGTCGTCTGACCTGCTTACTTTGCAATCAAAAGCGGTTTCATAGAGTAAGCCCCTTCGGCTCATATTTTCAAAATCATAAAGGCTTTCCGTGCTCCGGCACTCGGGTTTCAACAGAATATTTTTCTTTTCCAAATCCCAATTTTCCGTTTCTTCTAGAATTTCCCTAGCGATTTTATATGCTTCGGCTGAGTCGCTGTTGTCGTCGTAGCCATCGTTCCAACTTTCGAAACCACCTTTTTCGTTGACTATAATGCCCCAATTTCGAAATATTTCACGGGGATTCAACGGAGAAATGTTACCGTCGTCGATTTCACTTTTTACCTTTTGACCTTTTACAAATTCATCTCCGAGATTTTTCCCATCTGGTATGGGTTCTTTGAAAAAATCTCTTTTCCTTATCGAATCTAAACTAGTGTTTTTCCTCGGTGGGAAATTTATGGACAAAGGACTTTTCGTGTAATGATAATCTTCTTCTTCTTCTTCGTCAGAACTTGCACACTGCTTTTGCGCACCGATTGCGCAAGCGCATTGAGTGAGTGCCCTCGCCGTTAATGGACGCATCAAACGTGCATGAGCATCCCATTCAGCCAAACAAGCTGCCAACAAGGATTTGTTATCGATACCACCGTGTATGACGTGTTGCAAAACATCCGCCGGAGAAAATTTATCGCCGCATGGGAATGTTTTTTTAGGTGCCCCAGTCAAACAGTCTCTATAACAGTGATTGTATTGCGGTAATTTTTTAAAACTTTTTTTCCTACTTCTTATTTCATCTTCTTCTTCTTCGTCACCACCCTCTATGCCACCCTCTTCGGTTTCTCTAACGGGTACGATCGGTCGAAACTTGTTAGAATTTTCACCGACTTCGTCAATGGAAACGTTACTCACAAACGGTATGTCCAAACTCGCACTTTTCCTACACTCTTTCTTCTGTTGAACAGTTTTTTTTTTTATTGATGATGGCACGTCCAAACTAATACTCTTCACGTAACCCTGTCGCTTACTGTTGTACTCGTCGTCGTTTCCACTTCTCTCATCTTTCACTCGCTCTATCAAAATTTTCTCTTCGTCGAATTTGTTTTCTTCTTTTTTCTCATCGGTTCGCCTCGAAAGTTTTTTCTTTTCATTTACTTCGACGACTTTATGCTTTTTCCTAACTCGACCGCTTGCAAAATCGTAAAAATCAAGACCCCCTTGTTTGGGTTCGAAATTTTCTTTGGCACTAAAAGGATGATAAGATTCAAGTTGTTTTCTTTCTTTGGCAAGTTGTTTCGATGATTGACTATAAAATGGTTCGACCGTTGAATTTTTTGCCGTTTCCGGTTTCCTATAACTTTTAAATGCTGACGGTTCTAAATCGTCTTGATTTAATATATCACTGTAATAATACGGGCTCGGTCTTCTTTCTACATGTTGTATCGGTTCGTCATTTTGTCCGTCGTATCCCGTCGATGATCGGAGGGCATTGGTACCGAATTCTCTGCTTATGCGGTAACTTGCATCTACGAAAAACAAACGATAACAAACAATTAAAAACGCGGCACACAAATCCAACACATTGTAATAAAATTACTTTTACTTTTAACGTAAAAAAACAAATTCATTTATTAAAATAAAACAAACAAGTTTGTTACATAAAAATTTACGTTTCCTCCATAACCGTTCAGCTACCCGGTCACGTATTCAAACTAAATAAATATTAATAATGATAATAATATTGTAATTTTTACCTTCTTTTACCCAAAAAAATTTTTTTTTTTAAATATAGTAAAAAATGGACGAAGAACTTCGAACGAAATACGAAAGCTTACTGAATGAATCTTAAAATTTAACCTTGATCGTAATAAAAAGCATGTCCTGAGTCACACAATTCGAAATGGTTTAGTATCATTATCATCATCATCATCATACTCATTATTATTATTATTATTATGTACTGTAATATTTGCCAGAAGTATTCATTCTCAGGAACGCCTCGTATTCTCTCTCTCTTTATTAAACGCATTACTGATTATGTGCGTAATTTTTTTCTTGTTATTATTTTTGTGGATCCACGAGGACATCTCTCTCTCTCTCTCTCTCTCTCTCGTATGAATCTGGCCTTCATACTGAACAAAATCCTTTCCGCAAACAAAAAAAAAAATTTTTTTGGAAAAAAACGTTTTCTTTTACGACAGGAAAATTAAACGAACGAGAGCGAAAAATAAAAAGGAGGAAAGGGGGAGGGGATTAACGGGTGATCAAAAGGTGTTTGGCGTTATCGAAAAAAAACGTCGTCTGCTTTCAAAAGAATTAAATCATTAGATTTCTTTTTTTTTTTAGGGCATTTAAAAAATTAAAAGGCGAAGAGAAAAAAAAAATATGGCGACGTTTAAACGGTTTTTTATTTATCTCTCCAAACAGGTTTTATTTTATGCTCTCCCTTTTGCCCTTCGGGAACCATTCGTCAGTCAACGGCAGAGCAACAGCACCAACAGCAGCAGAACTTCTTCATTTACTTCAATTTTATTTCTGTGGTGTTAAAAAAAAAAAAATTATCTTCAACGTTAAAGAAACAAATTATCCGGTTTCAGATATTTTCACCGTCGATGATTTAAAACATTTTTCAATGTCAAGGTTAAAACGTTTTTCTCTCTCTCTCTCTCTCCCCTGCTATCTCTTTCTATCTTTCTTTATCACGACAGGACAGGAATATTTTTTTTGAATATTTTAAACGACTTTTTTTTTTTGTTTAAATTAAATTTTCACTTCGTCTCGCTAACGATGTCGCAAAGGATTTAAAATTGACAAAATGTTTTCGTTAACCTTTGAACTCATTAAGGCAAAAACTAATGACTTTTTTTTTTTTTCATTCTCGAAACACGATATCGTCATTTGTTATTAATAATAATAATAAGAATAAGAAGAGGAAGGAGAAGAGAAGATGGCGGGTGTGTAACGGTTGACATTTGTTTACGTCACGTCGTCTTATTTAATTAATTTTAATAGTTTTATTTAATAATTTAGTTATAAGTTATATATATCAAAAGTTTTGTTATTTAGTCTAGTTTATTGTGATATAATTAGTTTTTTTTTATTATTTAGTCATAACTATATTATTTTAAGTTTAAATTTACAATAGTAACGTTTTTTTTTTTTTTGAAAAAAGAAAGCGAGGGCAATAATAAACCTTAGAAGATGCCTTAGTACATATGATTATTACGAATACATACTTCATTTTAAGACTTGAATTTCACTTGCAAAAGGAGGAAAAATCGAATCAAAGGCAACCAAACGAGTTGAGAGTCGTGGGTTCAAAGCCTGGGAGTAGGAATTTAATTGCAGTTCGTCCAAACAGGAACAGACCTGTACCTAAATAAGGGGGCAAGTGATCTAGAACCTTTTCGAGGCATTGGGAGTGCGCCGACCCTTGTTCGAGGGGGTGAAATTGAGTACGTGATTCTAATAGGGAAAATGAAAGGAGTACAGATGAACGATCAAAGGAATTCGCGACTTCGAACACCTCGCATACACTGTGGAAGAGGCAGGAACGAAGGTAACAAATCGGGATTGTCACTGGAAGGGTAAAAAGGGGAAGTACCGGGATTCCTCCTCAGGTGGAATTCCCACTTTCGTGAGTGTGAACCTGCTGATGGCCTCTGGCTTAGAAGGGGGTTGTGTTTTTTATTCCCAGAGGTTATGACAAGTCGAAAACATGTTCAAACCTGCAGCATCACTCATATTCAGGCATTTATTCCTAAGGAATTTTTTTAAGCCAAATTTTTTCTGCTGTTGCCACCGCTACCGCCACCGAACGAAAATTATTCAAAGGTATGGAATGTAAAAAAAAAAGAAACTCGTAACTTGAAAACATTAAAAAATGGAGGAATTTTCGCGGGACGAAAGCTCTTGTTTTTCAATTAACCATTTTTCACTTGATAACAAAAAAAAATTATTTCGTTATTAAACTGAGGTCAACGACCTTTTGAGATATTTAAAAAAATAAAGGATAAATACAAAATAATTTTATTCCGTTTATTTTTTACTTAACTTTTATTATTATTATTATTTCGAGTGTTTCGCACTTTTTTCTTTTTCCTTTTTTAAAAAAAAAAGGTTTAACGCAAATGCTCGTATCAAAATCAAAATTAAACCCTTATCAATTAATTATTAATCAGTTTTTGTTTTCGTTTATTATCATGTAAAGAAAAGAAATTGTCGTAAATTAAATTTTCTTGATTTTCTTCTCATAAATTTTAAACAAAATAAGTAAATAAATATTATTATTATTATTTAACAAACATCACAAAAGGAAATACAATCCGCGGATTATTAAATGATTTTAATACGTCATCACATCTGAGATCGTGCGAAGGCCGACGACTTTATAAAACGAACACAACAACAACAACAACAACAATCGCAACAACTAAACTGACATCTACATACCGAATAGGTTTTAGTTTTGTAGTAGATGTTTCCATTACAACAACAAACGACAAACAACACGCGTACATTTAAAATTTTCTTTTTTTTTTTTCTAAACAATTTTTTCAATACGGTACGTAAAACTTGATTAATTTTTTTTTTTTTTTTTAAATATTTTAGCCCTCCCCTTTTTTTCCTTTACTTTCCTCCCCCCATCCCGACACCCTAACCATATCACCCGAAAAAAAAATTTTCATATATTACTAATAATAATGATAAAAAATGATGCGCAATTAGTGACGTCACATTTGTCAAAATCATTTTATTTTATTTTATTTTTTTTTTAGGTTCCATTAAAATAAAAAACGATATCGAAATCCCCTCCCTACTCACGACAGCGTCTTTTCCTCTCTAGATTCATCATCATCATCATCGAAAATGGATTGGATACAAGTTTTAATGTTGGCAACAACATTTATTTATTTATTATATAAGTTAACAACGAAAAATTATAATTATTGGTTAAAAAAAGGACTCAAACAAACGAATCCATATCCGATTGTTGGTGATAACGGACCGATGATATTTAAAACTGAGGATCCTCTAACAAACATTAAAAATTTATACGATCGTTTTAAAGAAAAGTAAAAAATATGGCGTCACTCATTTTCACCCAATTATTTTTAATAATTATGATAATAATAATAATTTCAGAATGTCCGGAATGTATATTTTTATGCAACCGTCGCTATTTATAAGAGATCCGGAAATATTAAAACTCGTCATGATCAAAGATGCAGAATATTTCATAAATAGATTTAATTGGATTAAAAATACGGATCCTTTGTTAAGCAAAAGTCTTAACTTGTTGCAAGGTGCGAAAAAAAAAAGATGGCGGCTTTACGAAATTCTTTAATTTGTTTATAAAAAATATATTGTTTTGTTTGTTTGTTCAGATGAAGAATGGAAAACTTTAAGATCCGTCATGACGACTGTTTTTACGGGTGCTAAAATGAAAGACATGTTTAAATTCATGGACAAATGTGCTCGACAATCAGTACAACATCTGGAAAAACAAATTCGTAATCGATCTGGAAAAGGTAAACCGGAAGGAAGTACCAAACCGAACGTATCGAACGTAATATTTTGTTTTTGTGGTTTTCAGATGACTCAAACGTTTTGGAATTGGAATTAAAAGAATTTTTTTCTCGTTACGGCACTGATGTTATAGCGAGCACTGCTTTCGGATTGGAATTGAATTCGTTCGAAGATCCAAACAATCAATTTTTTAACATCGGAACTGTTATAAGAAAAATATTTACGTCATTTCCTATTTTTAAAATGATATTCATGTTAAATTTTCCAAAACTTACAAAGGTTTGTGTTTTTTTTTTTTTTAAACTTCCGGTTTGTTTGATTTTTTAAAATTTATTCATTTACCCCCTACCCCCCTCGATTGTTTTAAGGCTCTCAACATAACATTTTTCGGCGACGAAATAAATAATTTTTTTTATAATATCGTCGACGAAAACATAAAAAACAGAGAAGAACATAATATTGTTCGCAAGGACGTAATACACATACTAATGGAAGCGAGAAAGAGTAAAAACGTAAACGGAAATAAAGATGAAGAATACGGAAGGGGTAAAATACCGAGTAAGATTATTATTATTATTATTATTTAACCTTTTTTTCAAAACTTAACGGTTTAAATTGATTAATTATTTTGTTAAAAAAAGGTTTAACAAACGCTGGAATAACGGCTCAAGCTGTTTTCTTTTTCTTTGGTGGTTTCGACATAACAGCCACCGTTCTCGGTTTCATGTGTTACGAATTAGCAATCAATCCGGATGTACAACAACAATTACACGAAGAAATCACGCAGATAATGACGGAAACCGGAAATGATGACATAACATACGACGATATCATGTTTAAAATGTCTTATTTGGATATGGTGGTCAAGGGTAAAACACCGAAAAAAAAAAATTTTTTTTAACGTGAAAAACATTTTGAAACTTGTCGGGCGGGGGGGGCATGTCATTTTACAGAAACTTTAAGAAAATGGCCGCCGGCTGTTATGACCGATAGGGAAGTATCCAAGACGTACGTGATGCCCAAAACGGAAAACACACCAGAATTTACTCTGGTAAGAGGGGACATCATATTCATACCCATAATCGCAATACATCACGATCCGAAATATTATCCGGAACCTGAAAAATTCGATCCTGAAAGATTTCGAGATGAAAAAAATACAATAAATCCTCTGACGTATTTACCATTCGGAGCCGGACTACGGCACTGCATAGGTAATAATTATTAATTTAATTTTTTTCATTCCCTTCATTTACATTATTAATATAATAATATTATTAATAATATTAACATTATTAATAATAATAATAATTATTATTATTATTATTTCAGCTTTGAGATATGCAATGATGGAAGTTAAAATCGGACTCGTTCGTCTGGTTAGTAAATTTCAAGTGTTGCCAACGGAAAAAACAAAAATCCCGATCAAATTGAAAAAGGACAGTGGATTTTTATTAAGTCCGGAAAATGGTTTCCAATTAAAATTAAAACTTAGAGCGCCATAAAAAAAAATTTTTTTTTTCTTATTCCACGACAATATATAAAAATTATTATGCTTAGATTTTACACGTTTTTTTTTTTTTTTGGTTCTGCATCCGCTACTGTCGCTTTTGTCCTTTATGAAAATCAAATCAATTTTTGTTACGACATAATTGTTTATTAAGAGATGTTTGCAAATTCAAGGTCAATTAATAATAATCCGTTCGTTTTGAAAAAAAGGAACGGATGTTAAACGAACGTCTTTGCGGCAAAATTTTTTTTTTGTGAAAAAAAAAGAAAAATGAATCGTTTTAAAACAGGAAGTTGGGAATTGATTGATAAGAAGGAAACGTTCTCTATTATCAGTAATAATAATTGATAACGCGCAAACGGATTTTTTTAAATGAAAATTATGCGGAGAAAAATTTTACAAACGTAGACATTTTTTTTTTTGGATAAAAATTTTCCAGACGAGAAATGAATGAAAATCGATCGCAACAATTTGACATTCGTTTTGACGTTCCAGTTTCCCCCCCCCCCCGATTTATGGTGAAGAAAAAAAAAATTTTTTTTTTATCCGAACGATCATCAGGTGCGAACGCCTCACGAAAACCTTCAACGAAATATTCATAAAACAAAAAAAAAATGGAAAAAATTAATTAAATTGAAAGGTTTTTTAGATATTACCATTTGATTTACTAGTGACACGAAAACGTTTTTTTTTAAATATATTTGTCGGGTGAGAATTATTTTCTCGTTACGGTACTGATCACAATCGACGAAAAATAAATTTCATCTCTTCTCATTTGTTTTTTTTTTTTTAAATAAAAAATAAAAAATTTTCACTCTTTGTTTAAATATTGTCCGTCGTCTGATCTTTTCTTATCAGTCAAATATTTATGATGATAAGAATTTTTTGGAAGGAGTGTGATTAACCAATTAGGGTCAACGAATCGCGAAAGTCTCGAATGCTACTTACGCGCACGATAACTTACGCAATGAAATTATTACGTCGACACAGATACTGGAGAACCGGCTGGAGAACGAAAAATTGACGCGAATTAAATGACCTACGATACGATTTAGTTACGCAATAGTTTTTGGCAATTTATTTGTATTTTTAATCATTTCCGTCGAAAATGTGGTTGTCGTTTTGGAAAAGTATCAAAAATGTTTGTTTGTTTGTTTGCAAATTTCAAAAGGCGTAATTATAAAAAAAAAAAAACAGACCATCGTTAGTCACTGTTACGTAGTCCAAGGCCGACGACGGCATCCAAACTAGTTTTTATTAGCCTATAAACAATTGACGGTGGGGCGACGTTACAATCGCGCATTATTTATTATTATCATTATTTTTATTTAAAAAGAAGAGAACAATCTCAAAGTTACAAGTGTTTAAACGACGTCATCAAAAACGTGATTGATTGTTAAGGTGGTAATGGTGGTGGTGAATAAAAGTGCAATCGAATCAATTTAGCATTTTATTTTTCCAAAAAAAAAAAAATTTCCATTTCCGCTTTGGATTTTTTCAACGGAACCAAAAAATAAATAAATAAAAATGGAATGGTTTCAAATTATCGTTGCTCTCGTTTCCGCCATTTTTTTTTATATAAATTCGTAACGAAAAATAATAATTACTGGAGAAAAAAAGGAATCACCCAAACGACTCCTGTACCAATATTCGGGGATCAAATTCCATTTGTTTTCCATACATCGGATCCCGCTGAATTCATAACGAATTTGTATAATCGATTTGAAAAAAAGTAAAAAAAAAAAAAATTGAGTGATAATAATAATCATAAGTAAGTATTATTATTAATTATTATTAATTATTATTATTATTTAACAGAATATTTGGGATTTACATGTTTTTAAAACCTTGTTTACTCGTACGGGATCCGGAATTGATAAAACTCGTCATGATAAAGGACGCTGAATGTTTTACAAACAGATACACTTGGTTCGAAGCTTCGGATTATTTATTAAATAAAAATTTGACAATGTTAAAAGGTAGGCTTTCCCTCTTCCTCACTCCCCCCGCTTCTCCCCACAGCCCCCTCCGGTTTCGATTGATAAGAATTGAGTTATTTTTTTTCCAGACGAAAAATGGAAAACTTTAAGATCCGTCATGACCACTGTTTTCACGGGTGCTAAAATGAAAGACATGTTTATATTCATGGACAAATGCGCTGAACAATCCGTACAGTACCTGGACAAGCAAATTAGGAATCAATCTGGAAAAGGTAAACCGAAAGTATTGATCCCAACGTATCGAACGTAATTTTTTAATGTGTTTTTGTGGTTTTCAGATGATTCAAACGTTTTGGAATTGGAATTAAAAGAATTTTTTTCTCGTTACGGCACTGATGTAGTAGCAAGCACGGCTTTCGGACTGGAATTGAATTCGTTCGAAGATCCAAAAAATGAATTTTTCCAGATCGGCGTCGAATTACGAGACAAATTTAAATCTTTTCCATTGTTTAAAACTTTTTTCACGGTTTTATTTCCAAAATTATCAAACGTTTGTTTTATTTTACGGGGAGGAGGGGGTTTTTATCGTTATTAAAATTTTTAACTGGAATTCTTTATTTTCTTCTCCAGGCACTCGGCATATCGTTCTTTGGTAAAAACATAAACAATTTTTTTTTAAAAGTCGTCGACGAAAACATAAAAAACAGAGAAAAACACAACATTGTGCGTAAGGACGTCATACACGTTCTTATGGAAGCGAGAAAAAATAAAAATTTTTCTTCCGACAACGAAGAATACGGACGTGGAAAAATTCCAGGTTAATAATTATTTATGACGTCATCACAATACAAAATTGCGTGCGATGATGATGACCCGTGAAGTGGCCTTTTATTACAGATTTGACAAATGCCGACATTGCCGCGCAATCCGTGTCGTTTTTCTTCGGCGGATTCGATATATTAGCGACGGCCCTTGGTTTTCTATGTTACGAACTCGCCATCAATCCGGAAGTTCAACAACATTTACACGATGAAATAGAACAAATCATGGACAGGGAAAATGAAATAACCTACGATGACGTCATGTTTAAAATGTCTTATTTGGACATGGTGGTAAAAGGTAAAAGACCGAAAAAAAAATTTTTTTTTTTAAGGTTGAAGACTTTTCAAACGTTTAAAACGTGTTGTTGGGGGGGGGGCGTCATTTTACAGAAGCGTTAAGAAAATGGCCGTCGGCAGGAATAACCGATAGGGAAGTATCAAAAACCTATGATTTTCCTAAAACCGAAGATAATCCGGAATTTAAATTGAACAAAGGGGATCTTTTACTACTTCCGATTATCGCTTTACACCGGGATCCAAAATATTTCCCAAATCCGGATAAATTTGATCCTGAAAGGTTTCGAGATGAAAAAAATTCAATTGTTCCGATGAGTTTCATGCCTTTCGGTGGAGGTTTAAGACATTGCATAGGTGAGAGAGAGAGAGAGAAAGAGAGAACATAAATTTTTTAAATAAGTTAAACAATAAATTAAGTTTATTGTTGTTTCAGCTTTAAGGTACGCAATGATGGAAATGAAAATAGGTATCGTTCATTTGATAAAAAATTTTATCATCGTACCAACAGCCAAAACGAGCATACCGTTGAAATTGAAAAAAAATTCAGGTTTTGTTCTTCTACCGGAAAACGGATTTTGGTTGGGTTTAAAACAAAGAATTTAAATTTTTCGCTAAACAAACAAACGAACAAACAAATTCCGGTGTGTTTTTAACCACAAAATTAAGCATCAACATAAAAAAAGAAGATTAGATTAAACGGTATCCTTCCTTCTCTTCCTCTTCACTCATCCACCCTCCCCCCCGACCAAAAAAAGAAAATTTTTTTTGTTTGAGAGGTACCGTGAAGGATACAACAGAAGGGGGGAGGGGTAATCAGAAAAAAAAATTTTTGTAATGAGTTATAAATTGTCAAAGGAAAAAAGTTATTAAAAACATTAATTGAAATCAAAATTCACATTTGTTTGCTTCCCTTTTCGAACAAGAAAACCCTCGAAACGTTTCCCTTTTTTTTTCGAAAAAAAAAACCGTTCGGTTGGTCTCGTACGTTCGGATTTAAAATTCGCATTAATCGATTTAAATGACATTAAAATAATAATAACAACAACAATACATTGCGGTGCAGTTAAAAACGAAATGAGAGAGAGAGAGAGAGAGAGGAGAGAGTGGAGAGAGGAGTGTAAAAGTTAAAAAAAAAAAGGAGAAACGTTGGCATCGCTGCAGTTTAAATAAACGAATGAGTACAAAAGAGAGAGAGTGAGGGGTAAAGGGTTAAAAGAGAGAGAGAGAGGTAAAGGATTAAAGAGAGAGAGGGGTGGGGGTAAAGGGTTTAAGAGAGAAGAAAGAAACGTTGGCAAAATTGTGGCAACGAGACAAACGACAAGCAAAAAAAAAAAAAAATAGGCGTACGAAACCGGATATTGTCAACCCTACCACTTCCTCTCCCTCTCTCACTCTCTTTCCACCTTACAAATAAACAAAATAAAACGTTTCCGGTGGAGAAAAAGATTTTTCCAAAAAGAAAACTTTCAAAGAATTTAACGAGAAAACTTTTCTTTTTCTCAAAAGATTTTCTCACACAATTTGCATACCTGGTGGATTGAAAAAAAAAAAAAAAGGAAAAAAAACTTTTTCCCTCCGACAAATTAAAGGTTAAAGGTTAATTAACAAAAATTTTTTAATTAATTGCAAATAACGTTATCAATATCGTTATCAATAAATAAATAAATAAAAACTCACCGATTGGATTCGAATGTCTTTTCCTTTGTAAAGATGAATTTTTTTCCGATTTTTTAGATCTTTGATAAAATATTTTGCTATCTCTAGGATCGAAATAATTATCTATTATATCGACCTGTCGTGACCCCCAGAAAAAGAAAGAGAAAAAAAAATTTTTATTATTTTTTTAAACAATTTATTTATTATTATTATTATTTAAATTTTTTTTTTTTTATATACAAAAAATTTTTTTTGTTATAAACAAAAAATAAACTCACGCATTTTTTTGATTCCTCTTCACCTTCGTCTCCTTCTTCTTTTCTTTTATTTTTTGGTAATAATTTTTTTTTATTTACAAAATCAACAGGAAGACTGTAGTCGTCACAAATCGATACCTAGAAAGAAAAAAAAAATTTACTCCCTGAAAAAATCCCTAAAAAAAAAAAAAATTTTTTTTCCTGGAATGAAATTTTTTTTTTTTTTTTACGGGGCGGTAATGTAATTAATTTTCTAAACTCTCGTCGCTCTTGCGTGTGTGGGAGTGCGTGTGTGCGTGCGTGCGTGTTTTTGTAATTTTACATGTATATTTATTCAAATTATTTTCCGCCGAATAAATTAAGGTTTACCAACCTTTCGTCGCAAAAAAAAAAAAAAAATTGAAAAATTAATTAAGGCGACGACGACGATGATGATATGTCCTTATTACATGCATGTCTCCTACAGTTCTTTGTTTTGTTTTACCTCCTTCATTCCCGCGCCCCCCCACACAAACCTGAGGTGACGTTTAAGAAAAATGTCGCAACTTTCGAAAGGATTAAATCTACCAACAAACAAAACAAAACAAAACCTGAACAAAACAAACATTGTCGAAAAAGTCGACAAACGTTTATGAAATTTTTAACTGAAACGAAAAACGCATATCCTTGCGTATCTCTCTCTCTCTTTTCAGTTTCTCTCACTCTCTTCTCTTTCTCTTCTCTTTTTCATCTCTTTCTCTTTTTCTTCTCCCTTTTTCTTTCTCTTCTTTCTCTCTTTCCCTTCTCTTTCTCTCACTCTATCTCTCTCTTTCTCTTCCCTTACTTTATTTCTCTCTTTCTCTTCTCTTTCTTTATACTCTCTCTCTCTGTCTTTCTCTCCTCTTTCTCCCGCACTCTCTCACTCTCCTCTTTCTCTTCCCTTTCTTCACTCTCTCTCTTTTTTTACTCCTCTCTTTATCTCGCTGTTCCACTCTCTTTCTGTTCCTCTTCTCTTTTTTTCACTCTCTCTCTGTCTTTCTGTCTCTTTTTCTCTCACGCTATTTAAACAAAAAAATAAAAAACCGGAAGTTGAAATTTTTTGTTTTTAATTTTTTTCGGACGGGGAGAGGATTAAATTCGATTCGATTCTCATTTTCATTCGCCTTCCAACCATCGTTTCCTTCTCTTCCTCCCGTTTCCAAAAAAAAAAATAACGGTTCCCCCCGAGCTTTCGAAACTAAAAAATCTCTCTCGAATTTAATGTTAATAATAATAATAATAAACAATAATTTTTTCAAGGTAAATAAATAAAAAGAGAATTTAATAATGTACTTTAATAATTAATAGTTTTAACCAACTCCTCGTAAATAATTAATCACGTTAAGAAAAAAAAAACGAGCGGAAGGTAAAAGCAAAAAAAAAAAAAAAAATCGATAGAAAAAAAAAGTAAAACCGGAAACGATAATTTAAACGACCGCCATCTTGGTTTCTTTTTTTTCGATACATAAATAAAATCTCCTGCCAAAAAAAAAAAAATTTATAAATAAATTTTTCCATGTTTTCCAGGAAGAAAAAATCTATATATATATTAAATCGTTAGTCTTTCGTAAATTATTAATTTTTAAAACCGGAAGTTGATGATAATAATAATAATAATAATAATCGTTTTCTGCTGGAGACAGTTTTTTTAATTTTAATTTTAAAATTATTTCCGTCAGTTTCGTTTTTTTTGAACGTTTTATGGAAACGACAACTTTTTTCTTTTTAATTTTTCTCATAAAATAATAATAATAATAATGATGATGATAATGATGATGAATTTTATTCAAACGATGATGTAAAAAAAATTCCAGGAATCCAGGGTAAAAAAAAAATGAGAAGGGAAATGTTTAAAATTTAATGATGACGAAATCTATGAAAATTTACAACAACAACAACAACCAAAAAAAAAAAGTAGAAACCGGAAACGATTTTTTTTATGTAACGTTAACAAAACATTACTTTTATTGTTACGTTTTAAATCTTTTTCTTTTTTTTCCTGGAGAAAAAAAAGAAAAATGGATGGAAAAAGATTGAGAAATTTTTTTTTTTTTTTTTACGGGTGGAATATACAAAACGTTAAAAACTGGAAGACAATGAAAAATGTTGTTTTGAATTCAAACTAGTCTCTGGAATATGTTTGTTTGTTTGTTTGTTTGTTGTCCGCGTTTTATTTGAATTATTGCACAATCATCGTTTTCCCCTTTTCTCTCTCTCTCCAGTTTTCTCCAGTTTTTCAATTTCCCTATTTCAAAAGGGAATAAAAAAAATAAAATAAAATGTCGTCCTAGAGTTATTATTCAACCCTTATCACAAATATCTTTTATAAAAAAATATTAAAAATTAATATTAAAACTGGAAATTTTTCATAGCGAATGACGTCACTTCCGGTAAATAAACAACAACTTTTTCGTTATAAAAAAATTTTAAATAATCCTTATGAAGATTTAAAAAAAAAAAAAATTATGACAATGACAATGTTGGCAGTACCGTCGCCTGTATTTTTTTCATCCCTTCTCCAGAATTTTTTTCCAGACTTTTTTCTTTTTTTCTCCAGACAAGAATTATTCATGACTCCTTCTGATTTACATCCAAACAGGTTTTTATCATGTCGGTTATAAATGAAACGTTCGCGTTTAAATATTTTATTAAATAAATAAATTTTCGACGACTTCAGGCAAAAGAATGAAAAAAAAAATTCCAGTTTTTCGTTCCCTAGAAAAAAATAATAAAAACTCCTTTCGCCTCCCTTCCCTCTCTCCCGATGATGATGATGATGATGATGATGAAATATTCAATGAAAATGTCGAGGAGTTTTTTTTTTTTTTTGCGGTAAAATTTTATTACGGCCGGACCATCTTCTCCAGCTGACTCCCGTTCGAATAAGACCGTTCATGTAAGATATATATATATATATATTAAGAACTTTTCGCCTTTTGTGTTTTTTTTTCGTTCCCTCTTTTTTTTCTAAATTCGTTTTTCCATTTATTATCACGACGACTTTATTGATAACAGATTTCTTTTTCGTTCCATGATAACAATTCGACGACTGGAGAAAAAAATTTTTGAAAACTCTTTATTTCTTTCGCTCCCTCGCTTTTTCCCGTTTTAATTTCGTTAAAAAAAAATAAACCAAGTTTTTATTATTATTAATATTATTACCGTCCCAGAATTAACAAAAAAACGAAATTTTTTTTTCTCCAGTTTTTTTCCAGTCTCCAGTAACCGAAAGTAAGACGGGAAATTGTCTTACGAAACTCAAGTTTACCCTTACTCGAAACTTCCCATCGAAACTTTTTATAAACCGTGAATCAATTTCATCTTATTTTTTTCTCCAGTAAAGGAAAGAACAAAAGTTTACAACCATAAAAGAAAGAGAGAGAGCGAGGGAGAGGAGAGAGAGTGAGAGAAAGAAAGTTGAATTTTCTACCATCCGTGGTAGTTTTTTTTATTGTTAGAAAAAAGAAAAAAAACTTTAAAATTAAATTTAATGTTTCAAAACTTGTTAATTTTTTAAAATAAAAATTTTTTTTTCCTCCAGTTTTTTCTCCAGCGAAAAGTTAAAAAAAAAAAACATTTCAAATTTCCTTTTCGGGTCAAAATAAAAAAAAAAATAAAAACCGGAAATGAATTTATTAATCGTTAAATGAAATCAAAATTTTATAAAAAAAA